TAAAAAAATAAAGTTGCTAGGACTTTTTGATGGAAGTGGCAACGCCGCAATGCTGAAAATATTTTAGATCGATAGAATAGGTAAGGAAATGTGAGAGGTGAAATTTTCAGAAAAATCATGCTTTGCGTTCTCCAGAAACGTCTAACCTACCATCGACCGTGAGTCACGCTGTATATAAGTATAAAAAAGAAACTAATACAAATTATGAAATTATGAAACAACAACAATAATCAATTGGCGTTCCGGGGCGACTTAATTGATATCAGTGACGCATTTGCTTTTTCAGCTGCAGGAAACCCCAGAAAAACCTGCAGCACTACATCATCTGAAGATCTTGATCTTGAAAGTTCAAAAAACTGAATACTTCAAAATTCATAGCTCTGTTGTTTTTAATAATTTCATGACGTGCGACCAGCCATTGTTGCATTATCTCCACTGAATAAAAAATATAGCATTTGAGAAGAAACACGCACTTCGGTAAATTTTATGAGAATAATTAAGGAAAAAAATGAAAGTTTTACCTTGAAATTGAAGGTCAAGTGGCCAAACCTTTCGTAGTTTTTTCGTATTTTACCTTATTTCAGCTAGCCGCTTGCAGATGTAGCCTCAGCTGTTGGGTCAAATTCGATATCTTTTTTGTATCGAGACATATTCCATTTTGATTTTTTTTCATCTTCCTCAGTGTGTAATCGTCAATTGGAAATGTCGAAACTGAGTTAAACAGTAAGATAAAATGAAAGTCCTGCCAGCTCTTTTCACAAATCTGTGATTTTTGCTTTCTGTTACCACAAGTTAATCATTGCTTCTGTGAAGAAACTTCCACAAATGTCTGTCTGGTATGAATACAATGTCCATCGTGATATTATCCATGAAAATAGTCCGTTGGTTATTTGCCAGGTCTTTCTTGGGAGAGGTGAAAATTTCGAATTGATTTGATTGAGGTGTCATTCGATTCATAATCTCACCCAAAGTCAAGTTACTCCAACAAATAATTCAAAAGTTAGCAATAATTCAGTTTAATAATGTATTGCAGATATCTAATATTCAAAAAAGGATCCTTCAATAACACAAAATTTTCTATATACAATTCAAGCCTTCCCAAACTGCAGTATTCATTGCAAACTGCTGTTTTGAAAATACGTGACAAAATGGGTGGTTCAGTTTGCGTAATCGACGCCTGAATCGGGTGCTTCAACAAAAAAATACTTCGACTCATTAGATATGAATATGATAAAGAAAGATGGTGACTGAATTAATAAACAATAATGTGCCGGTCAAAATGTATATTCACGATTCTCATATCAATTATGCTTTTTATAGTTTACATTTTTTCCAAGATGAAGGTTCACGTAGAAATTTTGATAATCACAAAAATATGATACCTGGAACTCCTTACGTTCTTGGGGCTATTTTTTGGGGGTTTAAGAAATGGTTTTTGGTAAAAAAAATCAAATCTGGTAAAAAATCTGTTGAAATCTCTTCTTTCCTCGCCCTCCTACGAATGACAACTCTTAAAAGTCGAAACTTGTGCGAACTGAGAACGTAACATTCTTTCATTATGTGAAACGTGGCTTAAAAATGATGATACCAATTTTGTGTATGCATATTATTAGCTGATCAACGGAAAAACAGATTTTCTTAAACAGTATCATTATTTAATTCTACAAAAGTAAGAATTGGCTTATGATAGCTATAATATATGTACATAAACAAAATAATGAACAAAATATCTTATTAATAAATCACTTACATTATCATATTGATCAGAGGCGGCGTAAGGCGTGGGCAGTGAGGGCCACCGCCTATGGCCCCGCGGTGCAAAGGACATCGCGCCTCAAACCCGAAAATAAATTTCATAAAAGTATGAAAAATCCAAAAGTACACGCCATGAGTGTCGAAACTGAATATATTCTACTCTTTGGCGCACAAAAGCATATGAAGGAAAAATTCGTGAATATATTTATTTTTCTTTGAAATAAAATATATGTTGAAGTAAAATAATTGAAAAATTCTCATCTTTGTCGTTCCTGATCATTCGTTTTCATTTGGTCCGGCAACATCATTTGGCGTTAAATTGCTATCGTGGGGAATCCCCGGTCAGAGACGTCAGGGCTTCCCCTCACATATTATAATTTCTAAACCTATCTGATAAGAATGAATGCTAATGATTCTTAACACTGATTGAAACAAAAATTCAATATTATTAAGAGTATGTACAATAATATTTTCACTTTAACTTGATCCTGCAACCAGAACAGTCTGCAAAGAACCAACTCCTCAGCAACTTACAGCAGATATGACGTGTTTGGGCTCATTTTGAAAGTCTCAATGAGTGGATAGCCGCATTGTTAGTGACAATGTCACTGAGGTTTTAATATTCCAAAATAGTACATACGTGAGTGTTTCTTAGTGCAAAAAAAATTGTTTAATGTCAAGTTTTTTCATTTCATAAACCCTTCTTCTTGCACCATCAGAGGGCCTCGCGAAATATATCTTGCTCACATTGAAGTTAGGTCTTGCGCCGCCACTGATATTGATATACATGAAATCTAAGTAATATCCCAAGATTTTCTCAAGTTGAACAATTTGAATATTGATTTTTGGGAAAGAAAGTTTTTGACTTTCTACTACTCCATCTTAATACAAAAAAAAACGAAGGAATCTTCCAAAGAAAAGAAGGAAGTAATTAATTTAAAAAAAGTTACTCTATACATAGACGTTTAGATCTTGCAAAGTAGTAACAGCTACTCTCATATCTCATATCATAAACATTAAATCACACGAAAGAAAAATTCTGTCGAAAGAAATACTTTTATATGAACACTGAATTATACAGAAGATGCTTTCCTTTACTCAGTTGGTATTCTAAACATTCGTTATGGAATTGAATCAGATTTAATTCACAGGATTTCTACACAATATACTGAATTAACTTTTTTTTTGTCCCTTGGGAGCTGTCTGACTTGTTCATTTAGTCCAAGTCTCCAGAAAAGACTGCAGCCTCTTGGGCTTATTGCGTTTATTATCCCATTTTCTCGTGACACCCATTCCATCAGTCTTGTTTTCTGTACTAGTTTGTACAGATTCCGTGTTGGATATTCATCATATTCTTCTGGACGTGATATTGTACGTCCATATATTGCCTGCCTGCTGTGATTCAGTGCCTCACATTCGCATAAGATATGTAGAGCTGTTTCTGTCCCTTCGTTTCATAATCTGCAGCTGAGGTTTCCGTTGTACCGCCCTATTTTGTTCAGGTGTCCTCTAAGCGGACAATGACCGGTTAGTAACCCTGTAATTATTCTGAGCCGACCCCTACTTTATTTAAGTAGTTCTTCGGTTATTTTCTCTTCCCTAATGAAGGTTCTACTGTGTTTGTTGCCAGGTACTTTT